CTCATGTCTCTGTGAGAGCCTTGCTAATGTTGAGAGGTACTAATTAGTAAACATCAGCTAGGGAAACTGCGAGTTTAGGTCATTTGATGTGGGGAGTGAAATTCTGCAACCTGGTGACAGGAATGCCAGTTATTCATAGTTTTAGCTTTAAAAAATCTAGTCAGCAATGTTGAGAAGTCTCAAATATAGCATACAGTAGAACCTCAGAGTTACGAACACCTTGGGAATGGAGGTTGTTCATAACGCTGAACTAAACATTATAGTTGTTCTTTCAAAAGTTTACAACTGAACATTGACTTAATACAGCTTTGAAATTTTACTATGCAGAAGAAAAATGCTGCTTTCCCTTTATTTTTTTTAGTAGTTTATATTTAACACAGCACTGTACTTTTTGTTGTTTGGTTTTTTGTTTTGTTTTGTTTTTTGGTCTCTGCTGCTGCCTGATTGTGTATTTCTGGTTCCAAATGAGGTGAGTGGTGGACTGGTCAGTTTGTAACTCTGGTGTTTGTAACTAAGGTTCGACTGTAGTCACTTAATGTGTATGTCTCTACCTTAATGTAGTTCAGTACAAGATGGAGATTTTCTGAAAGACTTGAGTCTGTTTTGTATATGTTTTCTGTCATGTAATCCACATTAAATTTATTGAAGAAAAGTGGAAATTATTGAAGCCTAACTGCATGTTTTATGTTTATGAAAGGAAAGACTAATGCCAGCAGACTGACAGGTTGTTAATATCTACTGCACCTGGTATGCTAAGAAAATATTGGATTTTGGCATACTGGATTTGGTTATACTGATCTGCGGGACAGGAGGGAAATCACTAGAATTAATTCTGGGCTATGCCAGACATTTAGCTTTCCTGATTAACTGCAAGTCCCCAAAATACTTTTTGAAAATATTGTGAAAAGGGAAGGAATGGAGAATAGCCAGGGAATTGAGAAGAGGTTTGGAAATTGCTTTGTGGCTATCCTGGGTACTTTCTAATGCCATGCAAACTATCTTTCTTCAGATTTACTTTTTTTATCAGGAGATATTGGAATGTGTTATGTACATGCTATAACTCCTGCATGCCAGTAGGAACAATTCTACAATTATTTTAGAATCATAGAATCATAGAACTGGAAGGGACCTCAAGAGGTCATCTAGTTCAGTCCCCTACACTCAAGGCAGAACTAAGTATTATCTAGAGCATCCTGGACAGATGTTTGTCCAACCTGCTCTTAAAAATCCCCAATGATGGAGATTCCACAACCTCCCTAGGCAATTTATTCGAGTTCTTAACCACTCTGACAGGAAGTTTTTCCTAATGTCCAACCTAAACCACTCTTGCTGCAATTTAAGCCCATTGCTTCCTGTCCTATCTCAGAGGTTAAGAAGAACAATTTTTCTCTCTCCTCCTTGTAACAACCTTTTATGTACTTGAAAACTGTTATCATGGCCCCTCTCAGTCTTCTCTTCTCCAGACTAAACAAATCCAATTTTTTCAATCTTTCCTCATAGGTCATGTTTTCTAGACCTTCAATCATTTTTGTTGCTCTTCTCTGGACTTTCTCCAATTTTCCACATCTTTCCTGAAATGTGGTGCTCAGAACTGGACACCATTTGAGGCCTAATCAGCGCGGCGTAGAGCGGAAGAATTACTTCTCGTGTCTTGCTTACAATACTCCTGCTAATGCAGTCCAGAATGATATTTGCTTTTTTTTGCAACAGCATTACATTGTTGACTCATATTTACCTTGTGATCCACTATGACCTACAGATCCTTTTCCGCAGTACTCCTTCCTAGGCTCTCATTTCCCATTTTGTATTTGTGCAACTGATTGTTCCTTCCTAAGTGGAGTACTTTGCATTTGACCTTATTGAATTTCATCCTATTTACTTCAGACCATTTCTCCAGTTTGTCCAGATCATTTTGAATTTTAATTCTATCCTCCAAAGCACTTGCAATCCCTTCCAGCTTGGTATCATCTGCAAACTATATAAGTGTACTCTCTATGCCATTACCTAAATCATTGATGAAAATATTGAACAGAACCGATCCCTGCGGGACCCCACTCTTTATGCCCTTCCAGCATGACTGTGAACCACTGATAACTACTCTCTGGGAATGATTTTCCAACCAGTTATGCACCCATCTTATAGTAGCTCCATCTAGGTTGTATTTCCCTAGTTTGTTTATGAGAAGGTCATGTGAGACAGTATCAAAAGCCTTACTAAAGTCAAGTTATACCACATCTACCACTTCCCCCCTATCTACAAGGGTTGTTTCCCTGTCAAAGAAAGCTCTCAGGTTGGTTTGACATGATTTGTTCTTGACAAATCCATGCTGACTGTTATTTATCACTTTATTATCTTCTAGGTGTTTGCAAATTGATTTAAGTATTTGCTCCATTATCTTTCCGGGTACAGAAGTTAAGCTGACTGGTCTGTAATTCCCCGGGTTGTCCTTATTTCTCTTTTTATAGATGGACACTATATTTGTCCTTTTCCAGTTTTCTGTAATGTCTCCCGTCCTCCATGACTTTTCAAAGATAATTGCTAATGGCTCAGATATCTCCTCAGTCAGCTCCTTGAGTATTCTACGATGCATTTCATCAGGCCCTGGTGATTTGAAGACATCTAACTTGTCTAAGTCATTTTTGACTTGTTCTTTCCGTATTTTAGACTCTGATCCTACCTCATTTTGATTTCCTTATCTTCACGAGAAAATTAAGCTGAAAATTATGTTGTTATGAGGAGTTATGTTAATTAGCATGACATAAAGCATGATTTGAGCACTCTGTAGATGGGGACTATTTTTTAATATATCAGATGTTTCAAACTGGAGCCATATGATTAACTACAACCAGCTGATACACTGTTCTTACTTACACTGATTGCACTTATTGGTCTCTTGTCTTTCCTCTTTTCCAGTTCTGCGCATACCCTCTTATGCCCATTCATAATACCACTGTATATCTCCCCACCTCTTTTGTCTTTGCAGTGGTTCCCACTCCTTTTTTATGAAGGTCAGACTTGTAGTCTTCAAAGCCTTCTGTAACCGCCTCCCCTGTGCCTCATGTTTTGTCCAGGCTTTCCTCCTGATTGCTCAATTTGTCTCCTGTTCCTGTGGTGCTCCCATATTTGTGCCTTTGTTGTGTACCCTTTTATGCTTTGAATAGTCCTGTTAGTATATAAGTATCTTCCCTTTTATCCTTCAAACCACTCATGAAAACTCATTTAATTGATCACTGGATGTGTGTGTTCTAGTCCTTGACTGGCATGGTTTACGTGTCATAAAATGCTTGTACCCTTAAGGCACTATGGTTTTGGACTAAAGATTATAACTTCAAAGGATTTATGCCAAATTACAGCATCTGGGAATTTGGCCTATATCACAAATAATCGGTGATCAACCAAGGAAATATTATGGAAACCTTTTATTCTTTGAAGTTGTTGCTGCATCTAGTATTGATTTCTCTGTGCAAGACAGAAATGGGTTAAGGTAGTAGGAAAGTGATGTTTCATGTAACATTTATCTGTAAAAAAAATACCCCGCTGCAAAGATTTAATTAGCAGTTTGTGTTTTTATTATGGTCTTGCTTGGGGTTTTTTGTTTTGTTTTTAGCAGAGACCTTAGGGCAGATCAATTATGATCTTTATTAAATAAGGCAGTAGTTGTTGGGGATAGAAATGCTACTGACAGATTTGGATGTTAACTACTTCCAGATTTAAGCTATAATTGGATGCTTTCCATTTTACAGTTTACTACAAACAATGCTATATTTGATTTCCTGTGTCTATGAAGCCTATCTGAGTTCTTGCTGGTTTTTACAAATGTGTTACAAAATCCGAAGATAAATCTAAGGTTGAAGTTTTGAGTGACGAATAACCTTAGGTTAAGCAAATAATTCTGGTTCAGTAGATGGCTATGAAGGTGAGCGTGATTTTTGTTAAATCAGATCTCATAATAAGGTTTGTGGTTTAATCAGATAAAGAGATATTGTGTTTGACCTTCCTGAACTACAACTTGTTCTTCATTTGCTGCACATTTAGTTTTAATTGAAGTCGATTGTACTAACTGAAATTAAAGGGTATACTCTCCACACATTTTCATCAGACTGTTTTAAAAAAAACCTCCCTAAATGTATGTTATTTTGGAAAGAAAGGAACACTAAACATTAAAAAGCAAAAAACAACAACTAACTTTAGCACTTTATGATACAATGATGTATCAAGTGCTAGTAAATAGTTATTCCATCTGGTGCAGTTCAGATAGTAAAAATTGAAAAATGAACTATTTTCTGGTCAGAACTATTTTTTTCTAATCTCACTTCCTCTTGGAGATAGTAGTATGGAGCAGGGCAATTAAAATATTAACTGGACTTCACTTTGACACTGCTAAGCAGTTTGCTTTATCTGAGGGGATTTCTTTGACATTTGGAAATGTTTTTCCTGAAAATTATAGTTTAAAACATGCATGCTTTACCCAGAACTAGTGGTAGCACGTTTCACTTCCATATGGGAGAGGTGGGGTTCAGTGTTTAGATTTCTCACTTCCCAGGTTCAAAGGGGCAAGGAATTGCTATGAAAACCTTGAGTGAGGAAGAGAGATTGCTAAACAGTAACTTCTCTGACCAATTAGGGATCATGGCAATGGTCTCTCTAATCATCCTCAGTACACTTCTTCTTATGGGTCTTAGAAAGTGGAGTGGAAAAGTCAGGCTCTCTAGGGCGCGCAGGCACCTACCACTTTGTTACCTCATGAAGTTTAAAAATAAAATTACTCTTCGTACATGACATCACTGTTACTCAACCCTGTACATTGGTTCCATGAGTTTCTGTACTCTGGTGCATAATGGTTTGTGGGCTTTTCATTTATCATTGCTTTTCCTGTTACAGGAGAGAAAATTCTGCAGTATTGCTCCCAAATAGGGCTTTCAATTTTATTTTTTTTCCTTTTAGTTTATGACTAAAAGTCAGTTTTATTTTGTTTCCAATTGTATTTTTTTAAATCTCAGGGATACCACTGTACAGAGCCTTACTCTGCAGCCTTCCGTTACAGATGGCCGTATTACATATGAAGACTCACCACTGGTCAGTATTTAAATTATATTTGTAGATTTGAAAATCTATTTTCATTTATAAAACAATGTTAAAAAATATATTGGAGGCTCCACAAAGGCCAAGGAATAATGGACTAAGTTATAACATTCTTATCCCTGTGGTCTGGGTACTGTAAACTTTCATGAGAATATTATAATTCAGCAACAGAATCAAATATGGCAAGACATTATTGGCAGTATTGGACAACTTCTTATTGTTTATTTCACGTACATTTTGTGTGTCACAAGCCAATCAGTGTAGTATTCTGGGATCTTGGTGTATCTGATATGCAGAAGGAGCATATTATTTATTTAATTTTGGAATTACTTGATGTACTGAAATTTTCCGATGTTTCCCTTCCAGTTTCTAAACACACATCCTACATACCCAGTGACTCAGCCTCCTGACACCTGTGCCCCACTCCCTATACCCTTTACTGCCTTCTGCTCCATCCTCCCAAGCAATCAGGACCCAGACTGCTTATGTTAGCTACAGTTTTCATCACACCTCACCTCCAATCAGCAGAATCTGGTCCTGCCGAACTTCCTCATCTCCCTCCCAGCTGCAGCACCCCCTTCCACCTGGTTCTGCTTTAACAGTATCACTCTTGTCTGTCACGGCAGCTTCACCTCACCCTCACCCCAGAGCAGTGGCATCTCTTCATCCTCTTCTAGCATTCCTTCTTCATTTCAGTATCACCTGCTGCTCTTCCTCCATACATGCCAATGCATTGCATGTTGGCAAAGCCTTTTCCATGTGTGCACAAACAGCCACCATTCATGCACAGGCACATGGTGTGCGCATATGCAAGAGAATTTGTTTCTGCATGTCATGCCATTCACAGAGTTCGGGTTCTAGTATGATAGATGAGGCCTTCTCTCCCCGCAGCATTTGCCCACACATCCACTCCATTAGCTAGACAGAATTCAGAGGTAGTCTTCAATAATATATATGTTAAAAAAAATTTTTTACATGGGAGCCTGTAGTTAGACTTCCAAGTCCATATTCACACACCAAGATCAGTAGTTTAATTTTTCAAAATACTGAACACTCAACAGTTTCCATTGACTGTCTGTTGGAAGAACACTGGAAGTTAGTGAGAGTTGCCGAGAGTTCAGCTCTTGAAAATCAGGCCACTGATTTAGGTGCCTGAACATGGATTTAGGAGACTAACTTTAGGCATCCAATTTTTAAAATCTTGGCTGTAATTAAGGCTACATTTTAGGCATAGGTATTTTTAGTAAAAGTCATGCACGGGTCATGGGCATAAACAAAAATTCATGGCCCATGACCTGCCCACGACTTGTACTATATACCCCTGACTAAATCAGGCGCTCTGGGGCAGGGGGCAGCCCTGGGGTGCCACGGGTGCTCAGGGGGGGCAGCCCAGGACCCCCACTGGTGCTGGGGGGACAGCGGTGCTGGCAGGCTCTCTACCACACTCCGCGCAGCTCCCCGGAAGTAGCGACATGTCTCTCGGCTCCTAGGTGGAGGCGTGGCCATGGGGGCTCTGCACGCTGTCCCTGCCCTGAGCACTGGCTCTGCAGCCACCATCGGCCAGGAAACGTGGCCAATGGGAGCTGCGGGGGTGGCGCTTACGGGTGGAGGCTGCCAAGGGAGGGACATGTTGCCACTTCCAGGGAGGTCCATGAGGTAAGCGCTGCCCAGAGCCTGCACCCCAGAGCCTGCACCCCGAACCCCCTCCCGTGCCCCAACCCCCTGCCCCAGCCCTGAGCCCCCTCCCACACCCAAACTCCTGCTGCTGAGGGGGGGGGGTGCCTGAGCAGCGGCCGGTGCAGCTCCCTAGGGGCTGCCCCAGCTGCTCAGGTGGCCCTTGGGCCAGTCGCACTGTCCACTGCAGAAGTCACGGAGGTCCCAGAAAGTCACGGAGTCCATGTCTTCTGTGATTTCCATCACAGATTCACAGCCTTAGGTGTAATATATAACTTACCTATTTTTAATTACAAAATACAAAGGAAAACAAAGCTGGGGTTCATACACAAGACTAAAATGTGTTTTATTTCAATTCATTGTGTTTGTGTATACACATACATATAGCTACATATGTGTGATTGTGCATGCACGCGTATACATATTTAAACAGAAGTAAATCTGCAATAGTCAATTCTCAGTAAACTATACAGGATTGGGGCTTATTAAAGGAGTATTGTAATACTTTTCTCAGAGGTTTGCTTCCATTCTGATGACAGGTTCGGCTCAATAATGATCCAAAGCAGTGCAGACTGACGCACATTCATTTTCATCATCTGAGTCAGATGCCATCAACAGAAAGTTGATTTTCTTTTTTGGTGGTTCAGGGTCTGTAGTTTGTGCATCGCCGTGTTGCTCTTTTAAGACTTCTGACAACATGTTCCACATCTAATCCCTCTCAGATTTTGGAAGGCACTTCAGGTTCTTAAACCTTGGGTTGAGTGCTGTATCTATTCCTAGAAATGTCATGTTGGTACCTTCTTTGTGTTTTGTCAAATCTGCAGCAAAAGGGTTCTTAATCGAACAACATGTGCTGGGTGGTTATCTGAGACTGCCTCAACACGAAATATATGGCAGAATGCGGGTAAAACAGCAGGAGACATACAATTATCCCCCAAGGAGTTCAGTCACAAATTTAATTAATGCATTATTTTTTTTAACGCATGTCATCAGCATGGAAGCATGTCCTCTGGAATAGTGGCCAAACCATGAAGGGGCATATGAATGTTTAACATATCTGGCATGTAAATATCTTGCAGTGCTGGCTACAAAAGTGCCATGTGAATGCCTGTTCTCACTTTCAGGTGACACTGTAAATAAGAAAGTGGGCAGCATTATCTCCAGTAAATGTAAACAAACTTGTTTCTCTGAGTGATGGGCTGAACAAGAAGTAGGACTGAATGGACTTGTAGGCTCTAATGCAGGGGTCGTCACCTTTCAGAAGTGGTGTGCCGAGTCTTCATTTATTCACTCTAATTTAAGGTTTCGCGTGCCAGTAATACATTTTAACGTTTTTAGAAGGTCTCTTTCTAGAAATCTATAATATATAACTAAACTATTGTTGTATGTAAAGTAAATAAGATTTTTAAAATGTTTAAGAAGCTTCATTTAAAATTAAATTAAAATGCAGAGCCCCCCAGACCAGTGGCCAGGACCTGGGTAGTGTGAGTGCCACTGCAAATCAGCTCGTGTGCCACCCCTGCTCTAAAGTTTTACATTGTTTTGTTTTGAATGCAGTTATGTAGCAAAAAAAAAATCTACATTTGTAAGTTACACTTTCACAATAAAGAGATTGCACTACTGTACTTGCATGAGGTGAATTGAAAAATGTTATTTCTTTTGTTTACCTTTTTACAGTGCAAATATTTGTAATAAAAATAATACAACAAAGTGAGCACTGTACACTTTGTAGTCTGTGTTATAATTGAAATCAATATATTTGAAAATGTAGAAAAACATCCACAAATATTTATAATAAATTTCAATTGGTATTCTGTTATTGTTTAACAGTGCGATTAAAACTGCAATTAATCATGATTAATTTTTTTAATAGTGATTAATCTTTTTGAGTTAATCACATGAGTTAACTATGATTAATTGACAGCCCTACTGAAAACACACATTTTTGGTATTAACAGTGCCCATTTCTTTCATCAGTTTTTTAAGCAACAATTTATTAATGCTTTAATATTATATTAGTAATCACTTACTGTCTGTTAGTTTTTCTATATTAACTTATAGAGGGCAAATGCAAAATGTTTGCACAAATGCAAAATGTTTGCACAAAATGTACAAGAAACTGAGAAATCAATATTGCAGTGTGTGTGTGTGTATGTGTATAATATTAATATATATATATATGACAGTTCATTTCTTCTGTCTTCTAGGTGAAATCAGTCAAGTTGGGGCATATTCTGGTTATCGATGAGGCTGACAAAGCACCTACAAATGTTACCTGTATTTTAAAAACTCTTGTGGAAAGTGGAGAAATGGTTCTGTCGGATGGAAGGCGCCTTGTTGCCAGTAAGTTGCTTTTATAGTCCATGGTAAAACATAGTATGTTGCCATATTCCAGCAATTTCATTTGTTAAGCCATAACTACAAAAGAGTCTAGTGGTCGAAAAAATGTTTGCTGTGCAAACGTTAGCAATTAGAGTTTTAAGTGTGGTACTTCTCTGCAGAGAGACTCTGTAAACATGTCCATGAGACACCACGTTAGTGTTTCAGTTATTATTGTCATGGGAAAAGAACAGGAGTACTTGTGGCACCTTAGAGACTAACAAATTTATTAGAGCATAAGCTTTCGTGGGCTACAACCATGGAAAAGTTGTTATTTTACATGGGAAAAAGGGGTTTTTACTAACTGGCAACCCTCTCGGCTGGGGATTCAAAAATCAAGTTGACCTCTGTCTTCATCACTTCCAGTAATAAGGATGCATTTGACCAAATTGTGTTCTTGGTTACATCTGTGCAGTCCTATTGCTCAGAATGTATTTTGGCCTGTCAGATCCGTATCTTAGGTTTTGGATCCCAGGTTAAATTTTTCCAGGCTGGCAGTTAGCAAAAATCTTCGTGTGTTTTTTGTTGCTGTTGCTGTTTTACTTGTAAGCTGAGAAAATTTCATCATTGGAATTTCATCAAGTGGAAATCATTGGAGGAAAAAACTGAAACATTGGAATTTTTACAGTTACTTTTCAGAGCAGAGCTGTGCTTGAAGTGCATCTTCACTGTTAGTCAATACAATGCTATATGTGTGATGAAAATAGAGGTGGTGTTTTTCTTTTAAACAGATTAGGAGCACAGATTTAAGTGCGAATGAAGTAATTATTCAGTATTCAAGTGATATAATACTAGAATTATGCTGGGTGACCACAAATCTCTAGGGTGTCATTTAAAAGAAATAGTATCTAGTTGTTTAAATTAATATCCTGGTTGTGTAATTGTGAGAGGTTTCCCTGTGGTACCAATGAAGATATGCTTCCAGAGAGCAGGTGGAGAAGCCCAGCCTGAGCCAGTTTGCACATTCTCTGCACACGTGGCTCTGGCTTCTCACAGATTCCTGGGGGTCTTCAAGTTTGTTGACAGCGTTTTCTGTAGGAGGGCAAGCCTCAGATCTCTTTCCCTGCCTCACACAGGGCAATGTGTGGAAATCTCCACAAGGGGTGTTTCTTATGGATATATCTTGTGCTATCAACCTTATCAAGTTTTACTGAAGGCACAAGTTGTTCTGGTCCTGAGATATTCAATGCATTGTTGAGCTTGGAACGATTATTCCTCTAGGTTTATGAAACAAAATAATTATAGTGCCTAGAGCTCTCATAGTGGAGCAACATGCTGATAAAGACTTCGGTGTTTTTTTGAAGATGTACAGATTTCTATTGTTTGGCTCATAAATGGCAAAACTAAAACATTTTTTAACAATCTGTTTTCCAGATCCTGCTAATGTAGATGGGAGAGAAAATGTAATAGTAATTCATCCTGATTTTAGAATGGTAGTTCTAGCAAATAGACCCGGATTTCCCTTTTTGGGAAATGATTTTTTTGGCACACTAGGTAAGTGATTTGTATTAAATGGGAGCACTGTAAATCAGGTATATTTAATGGTATTGTGTGTGGGAGAACATTAGCTTTCTTTCTTTTACTTGATCTCATGGTGAGAGGAAGAGTGGGGTGGTTGGGGTGGGGAGAGGATCCCTAAATCTGTTACTTCCGGGTCCAAGGCAGGACACTCATTGCCTCAGACATGACCCTGTTTGGGATGGACATCTGTTCAGCAAAAAAGTAAGTTCCACATAGTTCCTGTGGGAAAGGGTAATCCAAGGCCCTTCCGGGAAAGCGGTCTTGAAGCGCAAATATTTTGCAGCCCTAATGGGGTGTCCGTGTTGTAGACCTGTTCTCAGTGAAATTCACCCAGCAGCACTGGCCCAGGATGTCTTTACTATTCCATAGAACTTTCCCATGGTTAAATATTTCCTCTCTCTTGCTCACATGGAGACTCCTAAAGAAAACTGCTTTTAGTCATAATTGCCCCGGACTAGCCAAAGCTTAGTTCTACCTTTTAATGCTATTTCCAGGGGTCAAAACCCCTCTGCTTTCATGTCAAGGTAATCTTCAGCAGGGCCCAGTAATGACCCTACATCCCTATGCTCTAAGCCTCTTAGGTTTGAATCAGAGCACTCCTGAAATAACTGATCTTTCTCCACTATTCATTTAGCTCCCTGATGCATTGAGTGAGTTATAAAAGTGATCCTCCTCAGGTTTTGTGATCTTCTGTTCAAGCATCCTGTAAGACTGTATCGTGTCCCCAGCCCACGAAGAATCGACACTTTTATTTTCCAAATATAAGCAAAAAGAACAAAACAGTTCTTGAGCACACCATGAGCTACAACTTCCTGGGGGCATTCCCCTTTGTCTTTCGGTCTCTCCTGCTTCAAGGCCTATGGCAGGATTCTCCTGTACTCCTTTAACAAAGCACCTCCTAAGGCTTTCTTCTTGGAGGCTCTTTTTCCCTCCAATAGGTTCCCACTGCCTGTGCCTGCTCCTGCTCCCTGAGCAATCCCCCTTCCAAACTGAGAGCCTGGCTCATTATAGCCCTGGGGTGCCCCACTCTCATAATTGGTCCAACTGGGAGCATCTGTTTTAACACAGGGGAGCTGAACTTCCTTCATTTCCAGAGGCCAGACACCCTGTGACACTTCTTCAGTCAGACAATTTGTGCTGCTTCTTCTTCAAGTTGGTTTCTGGCTATTGATCTCCTTAGCCAAGACAGTGGTAAAGCTCTCCATACTTTCCCACAACTGTGCGTATTGGTTCTTCATAGTAACAAGTTGGTCCTTTATACATGTCCTAGTTTTTGCCAACATTTTGCCCCCTTTTTACCTAGGCAAGATACACTTCCCTTCTGATTTTCCCAGTTCTGAACCAGGAATGGAAAACACCTTGTCTCTTTGACTTCAGAACCATGTTCAAGGTGCAGTTAGATTAGAAGCAGGGAAATAAATCCCCTTTTTTTCCCCGTTCTCTTCAAGAGTTCAAGGGAAGACTTCCAGATGTTCAGTTATGCAATGGCCAAATGGATCAGGTTTGGTTTCCATAGGCCTTCAGAAATTATCTGTGTACTGAAATTTACTGTCCGGTCCACCTCCTTGACTGAGGGGAGGTGGTAATGAACAAGTTTTGCAAAGCTACCTCCTCTGGTCTAAACAGGCATTTGTGGAGACAGCACTTATCTGCAGAGTGCTTAGAGCAGGACTTCATGAAGAAGTTCTCCTTTCCAGGGAACTACAGTGACGGGTCAGAGGTTCCTGTTCCATCTTTTTTTGGGGGGGCGAAGGGGGCGGCCAACCTTGCCTTCAGGCATTTCTAATTCAGCCTTCAGTCTCTTTATTCAGGAAGAGTGACTTAAGAATTTTGTATTTTCAGAGGTGACTAGTGATTTTTGAATGCCTCGTTTTTGTGTGACCAGCATGAGATGACTTCAAGTGGCCTGATTTTTCAGTGGGTTGGTCCTCAGTACTTTCTGAAGGCTTTCAGGGTTTTTCAACTATACTAGGTGGATACTAAGATCTAAGTATTATTAGTACACTGTCTTTTTATTAAGGCTTAAATGCATGCTATATATATTTTTTATTTTAGGGGACATTTTTAGCTGCCATGCAGTTGATAATCCCAAACCACAGTCAGAACTGGCTATGCTTAGACAGTATGGACCGGATGTTCCTGAGCCAATCCTTCAGAAACTGGTGGCTGCTTTTGGAGAACTGAGGAGCTTGGCTGACCAAGGAATTATTAACTATCCTTATTCAACCAGAGAAGTTGTAAATATAGTAAAACATTTACAGGTACAATATGCATTATCTTGAATTCAAAAGAATGCAATAAATTAAATGAACAGTAATGCAATATACTCTTTGAAAAACCTTCAAGTGTTGTAGATAAAGATTTTTTTTTAAAATAAGTAATAAATCAAATTTGTGGATGCAAGGATTTGTCCAATAACTGCTTTTAGAAAGGGTAACAATATCTAGATGCTCAGATAGCACGGTGATAGGGGTCTTATATGTATGTTGGTAATTAGATCTTTGTGAACATTTATTCCTAAGTGTGTACAATGCATACAGTACATTTTTATCTTTCATTATGTTCTTTGTGTGTGCGAGAGAGAAAGTGAACCTATTATGCATTGTTGATATTGGTCTTTCTGATAGAATTCTCTGCGCTTTTATAAGAATAACATAATAATTTACACTTTTGCCTGCTGTTTCGTTTTTGATTTACATTGCCTTTATGGGAAATTGAACACTGTTGCTTAAGAATAATAGATCAAAAATAATATTGTATTGTCAAAATTGTACATGAATATGTCCTTGGCAAATAGTTGTTCATGTACCTTGATTGCCTCACACAGTCAAAGTGCAATATCCTGAATTCTGATTAAATAATAAAGTTAAAAGGTTAAAGTTAGGTTTTGATTTGTGCTAATAGAAGAATAGCTTTATAACTTGAAGAATATTTGCTGCTTATTTGAATACGGAATGTTTGTATTTTCTACTATTTATAATCTGTGATCTAGGTAATTTAATTATTATAGTGCTATTTCTTAGATTTAAGATCTTACAGTGTTAAATTTATATTTCTTACAAATATTGTTGTAATAATTATTTTAATATAATATCTCTTATTGTAAGTTCTTTGGCAAAAGTACCATTGCTACCTGTATGTTCATACAGCACAATGGTGCTGCATGGTGGTGGGCTCAGAGCGGGAGGGGTGTCAAATTTGTGTGTGTGGCACTAAGATGGTATGAGTGAGAAATAGTATAGTTTTTTTTTTATTACAATGATACTTATTCCTAGTAATTCTAGATTTCTGGAGCAGGGATTTTGTCATTCTGCAGTTTTAGTTGTGCCTAAGACAATAGTTCTTGAATGCAGATGTGGCCTTTGTGTGCTACCGTAATATCAATACAGCATAACAACACTGATAATTTGAATGTTTATGAAGTAATAACTATCCTGGGCTGAATGAGCTACAGGTCTGAAAGCTGAGGTGTTCCCACCAAATAAGAAAGGGGAATATTTTATTGGCCAGGTCATAGTGATTTATCAGATTAATAGAAATGAGTATTATGTTATTAATAATATTAATAAATTAAAACAAATAATCAGATTTTAAATGAAAGAGAAAAAACTGCCAAACAGCTGAAAGGCAGATTTGTTTAGAATTAAAACTACCCTTTTGGTTCTTCCTTCCTAATGCCACACCCCCAAATAATCTGTAATTAGAATATGTTGTAATGTCAGATGTCACCAAATGACAATGTTACACCACCTTATAAGTTATTTTTCGTAGTCCACAAGAAGTGTACAATATTTGAAGAAATACTGCTTTGTTAGTTTTCTGATAGAAGTTGTTTGGGGGAAAGCTATGGCAAACAGTATGAGAGTTGGTTCTCTTCCTTAGTTTCCCTTACTAGAGTCAATTAGTTCAGAGTTACTTTCTGGGAACAGGGTATTGGTGTGTGGGCTGAGATTTCCGAAAGAGGCCTGTGTGCCTTTTGTGCCCACTTCTGTAGAAAGACTAATGTATGTAGTGTAAATAAACAAGTTGCACTGAGTAAATATGCAGATTGCATCACTGAGTTCTCCTTCAATGCAAACCGATCTCCAAGGCCCTCACTTCTGCTACTGCTTAGCAGAGGGCCGACAGGTTACAGTAAATTGTGTTTCAAAACTGACAAGTAAAGAAGGGGGTGGGATTAACCTAATGTAAACAATTAGTGTAAACAAAAATATAACAGTTATTCTGGAGTAAGGACCTTGCCAGCCTTCAGGGAGGGAAGGGTGAGGAGGAAAGGAAGGAGGGAAATGAGTCAATGAACAATGCTGGCCTGCAGGAAGGAAAGAGGTAATTTAGTCATATGGTTAAACAATTTCCTTTACAGCAGTTACACAGCCTCACTTTCTTTGTACTCATGTTTTTGTTTTCTTTCATGTAATTTTGGAATTTTTTTGCTTCTGCAGAAAGGGGTTAGAACACTGTCGGGCAAGCTTTTTGGCCTGAGGGCCTCATCAGGTTTCAGAAATTGTGTGGAGGGCCGGTTAGGGGAGGGGGTCATGGCCCAGCTCCCACCTCCTATCTGCCGCCCCCGCCCGGGACTCCTGCCCCACCCAACTCCTGTTCCCTGATGCCCCCTGCCCCATCCACACACCCCCGCTCCCTGTCCCCTGACCGCCCCCGGATCCCTGCTGCCCCATCCAATCCCTCCTCTCATTCCTGACGGCCCCCCCGGACCTCTGCCCCATCCAACCACCCCTTCTCCCTGTCCTCTGTCTGCCCCCGGAACCTCTTCCCCTGACTGCCCCCTGCCGCCCCATCCAACCCCCCCTCCTTCCTGACTGCCCCCTGGGGATCCCTGCCCCCATTCAACCCCCTATTCCCCCCCCCCAACTGCCCCAACCCCTAACCACACCCCCGCCCCCTGACCACCACCCCGAACTCCCCTGCTCCGTGTCCCCTTACCACGCTGCCTGGAGCACCGATGACTGGCGGTGCTACAGCTGCGCCGCCCGGCTGGAGCCGGACCACGTCGCCACCACGGAGCACAGAGCACCGGGTCAGGCCGGGTTCTGCAGCTGCGCTGCCGCAGGAGCTCACAGCCCCGCCGCCCAGAGCATTGCGCCGGCAGCAGGGCGAGCAAGCTGAGGCTGCGGGAGAGGGGGGACAGCAAGGGAGGGGCCGGGGAGGAGCCTCCCGGGCCCAGAGCTCAGGGGCCAGGCAGGACGCTCACCATAGTTTGCCCACCCCGGGTTAGAAGCTAAGGCAATATCTTTGTTTTTGGCAGAAAACCTGAAAATTTTGAGTGAATCAGAAGTAATAGTACAAGTGATTATTCAAATCTCTGCATTCTGACTGTCAGCCAATCAAAGTACAGCGATATGCATACTCTGTCATTATGGAGACATAATCCTATAGAGATTATGAAAATAAATCACCCACAACCAGTCATAATACAGGGATTGCAGAATTGAGGAAAACTGTTAAGCTGTGTTCCAATAACAGTTCAGCATCTCTGAGAAAACTCATGCTGAGAAAATCATTTCAGTAAAATGTTTTAGATTGAATAATAGAATACAGTGTTAATAGGTTGCTACTGTGCTTGCTGTTTCTTCAAAAAAGTAGTTTTAGCAAAGTATTTGGTAAGATGTCAACCTACATGGAATCTGTATGCTGACGTGAACAGAAAATCCATCTAATCTTCTTTATTTTTGGGAATGGCCATGGGAGTGGTTTAAAGTAGATTACAATAGTACCTGTATTCACATTTCACATAAGCTTAGATTCACATAAAGTACTTTTTTTTTCAGCCATACTATGTAATGACTTTAAGCATAAAATATATCCAGTATGAAGCTGCTAAAAGCAAAAACTGTTTTTGTTTTCAAAAATAACCAGAAATCTAGGAGTAAAATATTAAAGTACTCCAAGACACTCATAGAAGTGTTACTTGTAATGGAAAGACTCAGTGAATGAGAACTGGATGTACTGATGGGGAATCAATATTTTGTCTGCTAATCTGGTTTTAAAAATCAATATCAAGTAAATGATTTTTAAAGACAGACAAATTTTGTGCTTCAAGTAAACTGTCAGTTCCATTTTTTGATAAACAGTTTTCTAGCCAGATATTAAAAATTTGCTGAATTTGTACCTTTTGAAGCAATAGAGCTCAATTTTTAAAAATGTAGTTAAGTGACGAACCTATTGACAAGTTCTCTAGTTCAGAACAGTTTTTGTGAAAGTGATGATCATCTGCCTCTAAAGAAATAAAGTTCATATAATATAATATTGGTACAGGAAGCACAGAGATATCAGTTTCAGTGACGTGAGGGATGTATGTTAGAAGAAACAAAATAGTTCAAAAGAGAATAAAGAGACTATTGGGTGGCTGGATAACGTTTGAGTCAATTTATTAAAGCTTTTGCAGTTTCCTCTGTAAGCTACATGAAACAATAAATGTAGAGCAAGTGAGGCTAATCATTATCCTCTAGCGTATTCAAATACTGTAAGTTACTAATTAAATTGGTGAAAGCTTGTTGGTTACACTTTGTAATAGAGGGGAAGAATGTGAGTTATTACTAAGAAATGCTATATAACCATAACTATTCATCATTATTACTGTTTTATTATTCAAAATATACTCACTCTGTGTACTGTTAATTACATGATAATTTGCTTTACTTTTGCAGAAATTCTAAAGTTCAAGATATATTACACCATGTTTTTCAGTTACATTTATAGTGTATACAAGTACAGATAAGTTCTATTTCCTACAGTATCTATTAAATATATCTTGCAGAATATAGAAGTTGTCCAAGTATAATTTTGTTGCAGGCAGGATGGTTTTATGTGCTAAGTAGTAACAATATAAATAGATATTTGTGCTTTTAATTTTGGATAGTGTGTGCAGTGGATCTGCCTGATATACATCATGATAAATGCATAGATTATTTTCTGTGCAATATATTTATTTTGATTCCAGGATAGTGAAATTATTTAGTGCTATAAGTCTTATTTGTAGAAAGGAGTTTAGTAGTTCAGAAATGTCAATTAACTTTTTCAACAGGGATTCTATCTAAAATGTTTCAACCAACTTAACTTAGAACATTTATCAGAGGACTTTTTTATATTTTATTCAGTAAGGAATAGCCACATTAAATGCGCTGGGGGCAGCTAGAGAATGACTTGTACAATCCCACAATTACATAGTTTGCTAAGCAAATAATTAGCTAAGTAATAATGCAACCTTTTCTATAGACTCCAGATATGCAAAATTTGTAGGACATATTCCTGCAATAGGTGTATGTACACCTCTCCCCCGATATAATGCAACCCGATATAACACGAATTCGAATATAACACGGTAAAGCAGTGCTCCCGGGGGGGCGGGGCTGCGCACTCCGGCAGATCAAAGCAAGTTCGATATAACGTGGTTTCACCTATAACGCGGTAAGATTTTTTGGCTTCCGAGGACAGCGTTATATCGGGGTAGAGGTGTATTATATATACGAGTGCTGTAGTATTCTGTGGTACACACATGAAAGGGCTTGTCTATACGGCGATTTAGTGCGCAGCAAGCAAGCCAGGGTGTGAATGTAGAGTGCACTAGCTTTTCATGCACTGACTGATCGTAAAAAGAACAGGAGTACTTGTGGCACCTTAGAGACTATCGTGTGGACCCTGCCACCATTCAGTAAAAATTCCATCGTGTGCTTTGATGTACCACTGTTTCAGACAGGAGTATGTCAAAGTGTGCTATGGAACTTTTAGCAAACAGTAGCAGGGTCCACACAGTCGGTTAGTGTGTGGTGTGCCAGTGTGCTGTATTTTCACACCGTGGCTTGCCACACACTAGATCACAAGGTAGAAAAACCCAAAGAATGAAATGATATACAGCTACCGCTACCTCTGCTACTAACGACATCCTCATCTACCATAATATATAGTTGGGTTTAGATATTGTATGCATAATGTTCATGTTATTTTAGAAACTGGAGATTTCAGGAAGCATGGGAAAGCATTGAATGCCTGGATTTTGAGTAAGATGATGATTGGGACGACTGACCAAAACATTAATGAGAATTTTTGGTGTGGGGGGTTATTCTAATATTTGTACATACTTAGTTTGAATCTTTTTAAAAAATTTATTTAAACATTTGTTTTAAAATTATCTCCCAGATTTCTACAGTTACTAAAATATGATCTGCACTAGTAATGTGGCTATGGCAGTCATTTGGGGCCAGACTGTGAACCCCTTATTCCACTGGTCTGCGGTTACTTGCACAATTGAGACTCTTATGCGAGTAATTGCTACCAAATAAGACTGATGGGTTCACAATATGCCCCTTGGGAATTTTTTGTCCCTGAAAACACTTATGCATGTGCTTAACTTGACTACTATGAGTAGTCTCACAATGGTGGTAAGGTTAAACGTGCATACGTGTTTGTAGGAATGGGGCCATAGTCACTTAAGGATGGGTGAGATGGGGTTTACAAACCCCATACTGAGCATAGACAAAAGGGAGAGGAGAGTCGTCCCTGCTGACAGGCTATCAGGCTGCTCGCACCCCTGCCCAGCTGCCAGAATTGCCAGTCGTGAAGGTATGCACCCGAATCTGTGACCGATAAAGAAAACAAGCCCAGCTATAAAGGAGGGAGAACAGAGAGGGAAAAGGGAGGCAGAAAGGCCTGGGATAGCAGAGGGGGCAACAGCCCCATGCCAGGCTGCCTCTAAGGAACTGATAAGGAGACAAAAGAAAACTGCAAGCCTAGTTTAAGTTAAGAATTCATGGACTGGTCAAATTGAAAGGGACCACTTAGGAGAAAGCTGGGACCCCTAGAGAGACAGCACCCAGAACAGCCAACAATGGGATTTTCAAAAAGTGTTCAGTGCTGGCATGCCTCAGCTCCCACCAACTTCAGTGGGAGCTGTGATAGGCCAGCACTGAAAACTTTTGCAATTCCCACCCTAAATTAACTTTTTTATTCATTCTTTTATTTTTTAAAATATGTACTTTATAAGTTGCCAATGGTTTGCTAAGCATTTTACAGACATGTAAGAAGATAAGGTCCCTGCCTCAAAGATCATACAATCTAAATAGATAATATAAAAAGAAAGCGTGAGAGATGCAACAAAAAGCAAAGCAATAGGGCAGTGAAGTTTAGCATGCATCTTGTTACTTCTGCAATTTTTGTTAGTTGTTTCTGTTGTATTCTATCTAGCAACTCTATGAAGATGACTACTAGAGCTCAGTATTTAGATGTAGGAATCAGATGTTTTGTTTTGTTTAATTTAAACAGAAGTTGTCTTTCCGGGAAATAAATATACCATTTGTTTTATTGCTTCATGACAAATAAGCATAACTTTTCTCTCTCAACTGGCTTTAGCAATTTAACAATACAGACTAACTACAATATAAAATATTTTACTACGTGCAATAACTTAGATGTGTGTAATATGATACATGTTGGGGTTTTGTTTCTGTGCAGAAATTTCCAACTGAAGGACTTGCAAATGTGGTTCGAAATGTGTTTGACTTTGACTCCTACAACAATGAAATGCGTGACACTTTGATCAGCACTTTGCACAAACATGGGATACCGATTGGAGCAAAACCTACCAGTATACAGCTGGCAAAGGAGTAAGGCTAACCTAATGTATATTAAGAACACTTATCTGTGTCAGCCATTTTTCTTTCTTTTATTTTGCTGCTAATTGATTAACAACAACCTGGGATACTTGAAGCTAAATACTCTTATGGTTGAAGTTTTGTTTTCTGCAATAATGGACAATTATATTTTACCAATAAATTTAGTAGTTATAAATTACTAATTTTTCATCTCTATTTAATGTCCATGTAAATGTTAATAGTATGAAAAACAGATACAAACAAATAAAGGGAAATATTTGTTTCTTTCTCCGTCTGTGTTTTTTTTTATTGAATTACTACAGATCTTTTCCTATTTGCCATTAAACTCAGAAGCAAAACAAATCGCTTTGTCTTCAATGGGAGCAAGAAATGGTCCTTAATCCTTAGCTCTATAAAAATACATCATCATAGCATGTCAGAGCACTTAGGCAGGCAACAAGAAGGATTTTAAAATATGCTTATATCCAGATCCCAATTATTGTTTAATAATCATGGCCATTGACTGAACTTGTTATACTATGTACTATTTGAGAGCTCAGAAAAAAAATAGCCATTTTTAAAATAAAAACCTAAATTGTAAAATCACAGCTGATTTAGCTCATACTTTGCACGTCACATGGATGCCTGTCTTTTTCTGCCTTCTGATAATATGTTGTTTGATAAATAAACATAATTAACATTTTTATTTTTATTTTTGTAAACTTCCTCTGAGATGTTTTGAAAAATCTAATATATCTTTTAAGGAATCTCAGAAAAAACAGACCATTAAACCAGTCAAGTAACTGTTTATGGAGAAACAAATATTTCCCTTTTATAATAAAGCAAAGGATGGGTTATGGAAAATTCAGTTTTACATAGGATTATACTACTTTTATGTTTGCTTAGAAGGAGCTGAATTGACTCCACTGACAAAATGTCTTTATCAGTTGTCAGTGTGTAGATTTCTCCTGCAGGAGCACCACTATAATCATGCCTAGCAACCTACATAGATGTTTTGAAGAGGACAGGCAGTCTAATGACTATGGCATAATTTTTCCTCTGGATGTCTGAGGAATCACGTGTCTGAGGAACTCAATGCCTGAGTAACTACCATATGCATCAAGATGACAATATACCCCTAAAACTGGTGCCACAATCTCCATAATTTACTTGCTAAAAATCAGTTGCTGAATTCTGTTTGAAGGACTATAAAGTGGGTCTGAGTTAGAATGATAGTTTATATTTGATAAGTTGGCATTTTATTTTATTTAAATAAGGATTTTAGAAAAATAAATATATGGTTTGTTTTTATTGGCTATGGTCTTACGAGGCCAATTGTTTTTATTGGCCTTATGCTAACGAGGCCAATTCAATTAAGCACTGACTCCCACACACACACACTTGGTAAGGCAACTCCCATCTTTTCATGTGCTGTATATATATACTGCTTACTTTATTTTTCACTCCATGCATCTGATGAAGTGGGTTTTAGCCCACGAAAGCTTATGCCCAAATAAATTTGTTAGTCTCTAAGGTGCCACAAGGACTCCTCGTTGTTTTTGCTGATACTGACTAACACGGCTACCACTCTGAAACCTGTTGATGCATTGTTTCACTGGTACAGGAATTCTACTGCATATGTTAATATATTTGATACAACAGTTTGTGAATATTTTATTTTATTTTATTTTAATATACTGAGCTTTTCATATTTAGCAGAGGTGAATCTTTGTATTTGTTCCATATCACTTTATCCAAAAGACATCTACAAGCAGGAATTATTTAATCTACCACTGAACCAGAGTGGAATGTGATAGCTGTTATTTATCTATGTAGGAACAAAAGCATGCTAGGCACACGAACAACACACAGGGGTATTACACAGCAGTTTAGGACAAGAAACACAGAAGAAGACTGTATCCAGTTAAACTTCAGGATTAATTTAGGTGGGCAGAATGTAGTTGTCCATTCTGGAATTTTTGCTTGGACTCTAGAATGAATATGCCTATTCTTGTGAAAAGGGTTAGGAGATCATTAATGGCCAGTAAAAAGGGATTCCTGCAATATGAGTTGTTTTATGGAAGGGATCAGTGTAGCCTACAGAATCTCACTCAGTGTCTCCAAAGGTAAATGAATTATAATAGATCCATGCTCCATGGTTTCAGGCTTTGGCATGAGATTTTGGAGCAGGTTGTCAAGCTTAAAAGAACCAAGAGCCCTCAGAGAAATCAGTTGTGTTCAGAGACCAGCAAACAAAATTATAAACCTCTAAAAGCCATTTCTCCACAAGGGAGGCTGACTAGGTAATCACAGATACTTTTGAGGAAATGCATCTAACTAAACAATATTGTAAGATGGGGAAAATTCAGTGTGATTCTCCAGTTGGTTATCAGTTGCCCATACAATATTTTTCTTAGCTAATTTAACTGCAGATGTTTTTTTCATTCACATATATCTTATATTTTTAAAATGTACTAAGCTATTTTCCTCGATAATATACTTTGCGTTTCTTAACAGCCCTTAATTCAGTGATCTCAGTATACTTTCACAAACATTAACTAATCAATTTACAATATCCTTGTTAAATAGTTATATATAAAAGATCACTTCACATGCCACTGAGAGTCAATCACTTCTGCAGCAGTTATTCAGGACAAGAAGCGAAGGAAACTATCATAGTTAATTGAAACTGCCAGGAAAACATAAGACCTGAGATGGAATTTGGCCAGGACACCAGATTAACACTACTAAATTCACAAATGCTGTGAGGTCTTTAACTGTTCTGGACATTTGTTCACCATTCTAGACATTTGTTCACGACTGACACAGAGGCTACTTACCGAGTCACCAGCATCACATCTTGTAGCATATTTGTTCTTTGGAGCTTGCTTCTGTCCAAGTACTGAGTAATAGGACTCTCTGTACTTTGAGATCTTGTCTGATAACAGTAGAACAGTAGGCATGAGTGTCATGTGTTACTTTGAAAAGTTATTTTTTGTACATTTTCTGTTTTTGTCTTTTTTATCATATCTTCTCTAGATTTCCAATTTTCCAAGCCAGAAAATACATCGCACATTCACATTTTAAAATCATCTGAACCTTTTTCTAATTGAGCTGGTTTGAAAATATCTCTGTGAGGTTAATCTGTGGCCAGATAATAGATTATGGGTATGTCCTGGCTCCCAGGATCCTGTGAGTTAGCTGAGGTTTTTTTGGTATTGCCTGTCAAGTAAGGAGTGGGAGAGTATAACTCCGTTCTCTCTGCTCCCCTCTATTTAAGTCAGAGTATCTTTATGAATTTTACAATATCTTTTGATAAGCTTAGTGTTGTAGAATTGATGTTTATAAAGACGAGATGACCTACCTACCTATTCTGTTCTTGGAAGGTAGTGATTATAATTGGTCCCCACTCACCCAAGCACACTGGAAAGCTATTGTTTTTATCTATTAGTTTTCCTTTTGATTGATATCTGATGAAGCTGGAGGCTGTGTACGAAATATCACACATCAGGTTGTGCACTGTTCATCAGATCTCCACACACCTTAGGTATGCTGAGGCCCATGCAGCAGTAGAGTGCCTCAGTTCACATTCACTACTTGTGCACACCATGGAGTGTATTATTACACCTAAAATTGGGGGAAAGCAGTTTGTAGGAATTTAAATATCATACATGTAATATTTAAGCCCCACCCTGCCAGAAAGTACTCTGTTGTCAGTTCTAACTCTAGGAAATTACTACATTGAGCTCTGTGGTGTTTACATGAAATAGGACTGAATAAAGAGAGACTGAAGCCCTCTGAATTTGGTCCTGAAATAATTTAAAACAAACAAACAGCTGGTGTGAGGATATCTTGCACATCTTCCTTTTTCTTCTTTACTGCATACCTTGTTCCCCATTCCTTCCCTCTCCTGCTATTGGTGAGTGGGTCTTCAGTTGCTAAGCTGCTGCTTCTGTTAACTTGTCTTGTTATTGTGATCCATTCCTCAGCAGTTCCCTCCCTGCTTTGTGTATCACTGAGCTGATCTGTGGTAGTGAAGACGTAAAGAGCTGGGTAGGGCTGTGCAACGGGGACTGTATGGAGAGACAGGGTGACAGTGACTTCCTTCAAGCCCTGTTCTTCTCTGTTGAGTGACTGGTCAGACTGTTCCCATAAGGGGAAGGGGGAAAAAGGAAAGATGGGAAGAACCATTTAATTTTTAGTCTTCACTCATCAAGTTGGAGGCAAGGGCAACTTCAAGCTGCTTGAATTTTTTAATGTCTCTTTTTTTTCCTTTGTGTCTCACAGATAAGAAATAGGAAGGTCATTAAACTGAAATCTTAAATGATACAAATAAGACTTTAATCAAAAGTTGTTTGTTTGAAGTGCCATGATCTGGTTAGCAAAGAACATAACGGCCATACTGGGTCAGACCAAAGGTCCATCTGGCCCAGTATACTGTCTTCTGACAGTGGCCAATGTCAGATGCCTCAGAGGGAATGAACAGAACAGGTAATCATCAAGTGATCTATCCCCTGTTGCCCATTCCCAGTTTCTGGCGCAAACAGGCTAGGAGTATCATCCCTCCCCATCATGGCTAATAGCCATTGATGGACCTATCCTCAATGAATTTATCTAGTTCTTTTTTTAACCCTGTTACAGTGTTGGCCTTCACAACATCCTCTGGCAAAGAGATCCACAGGTTGACTGTGCACTGTGTGAAGAAATACTTCCTTTTGTTTTAAGCCTGCTGTCTAGTACTTTCAGTTGGTGACCCCTAGTTCTCGTGTTATGAAACATTCCATCCCACCTTTGATTCACAAGACTGTGAGTTCCCCAATTTGTTAGTTGCCTTTTATAACTCCTGCCTGAGTTATAAAAGGTATATATCAGTTATAAAAGGTATAGATCAGTTCTGATAGCTACCTTCAGAAAACACAAATTACAAGTAACTTGATTCCTATAAACTTAGGGTAGGTCTATACTTACCTCCAGGTCCAGCAGTAAGCAATCGATCTTCTGGGATTGATTTA